CTAACCCAAAGAACGTCATTAAACTTATGATACATTGCTTCAGCCCATTCTTAGATATATGGACTGAAGATGAATCACATCGCTTACATCGAGGTCTAAATAAGACCATAAATTCCCCAACCATTAAACTTCGCTAATGAACCACTTTGTCTCGTTTTTTCGACAAATCTCATTAGATCAATGTCTTTGACGTCTTCAATCTGGCATAGAACAGAATATTGAAACCGAGCATAGTCCAAAGTGGGGCAGTCGCATAAACGGTTGGTGCAGATTTCTCGTTTGGTCAAGCCATTCAAGAAGCGGATGGGGACTGGTGTTGAAAAATGGATCACTTGCATCAGCATCAAATGAAAACGATCCTGGTCGAAGGGTGTTATGCAGATACAAACCGTCTGTAAGCCATTATTGACGGCCACGAAGATTTTGTAGTGTCTTTATGCGATTGACAAGAATTCATCCACTACGAGCTGTTTTCGAACGTCCAAATTCTTAATTAGGACCTGTACCGTCAGCAATTGGACCGTCTGAAGGACACAATTGCCCAGAAGCCACCACCTTCGGGAAACAGGATGGGAGTCATGTTTCATCAGAACAATGACAGACCCCACACACAACGTTAGTGACTCGCCTGAAGCTGCGAGAGCTTGGCTTTTATGCACTGACCTTATAGTCCGTACCATCGGTCACTGTTTATAACGAATGATTTGGCTGCTGATGAATTGGGTTCAAGAGAAGTCTGTAAAATTCGATTTTCCCAATTTTTTGCCGATAGAATTTTTAGAAGAGAGAGCCATAAATAGGGACTAGGGTTTCTATAAAAGAGCCATAACGAGATTATCTTCAAATTATAAAAAAAAATATTGGGCAAAATTTCTGATAATTCCAACTGTGGTACATAAAGCCTTCAATTTAATGAAAATGTAATAGAATATTTTTGACAAAACCCAAAATAGAAAAAGATCGTTAAATTTAAATTTGTATTAAAGTATAAAATTTGTTTTATTTTTTTTTTAATTATTTTGGCTTTCTTTTTTGATTTTTATATATAAAAGTTAAACACGCACACCGAACAAAGTATATTAAGTACGCCATTTACAATACATATAGATTTATGTATATACATATATAACTTACGTAGTCGCAGATACAATATTACACATGTATTTGTATATGTATGTAAATATACTAATTTATAGATTTACACTTTTCATCTAAATTCTGACTAAGGAAATGAACTATTTAGAAACATACCTAAATATACTTACATACATAAATAATTTATATAAGATATATTATATATTATAGTTGATTTATGTAAAATTTTGCAAACCTTTCCAAAAAGTTCTTCTTCTTCTTCTTCTGCTCTTTGTAAATTGATCACAAAATATATATTGGTATATGCATATGTATGTATGTATTTATGGGTGTCTGCATATTTAAAACGGGATATTTGCTATGTGGAAGTGGAAATATATTTCCTATACAATCGTGTGTACATATGTGTATATGTATGTATATACATACAATAAAGTATGCTGTCATTATGGTTTAAAAATCTGTATTAAAATTCATGTTCTATAATTTTCGGGATGTTTCTTTGGCAATACAAGTATTTGTAAAGAAATCTTTAGAAGTATATTATATTTAAAATTTTTTTATTTAATTTTTTACTTTTTTTAAGACTTTTTTTTAATTTTTAAATTTTTTTTTTTTTTTTGTAATTTTTTTTTTTAAATTTATTTTACTATTTTTATTTCTTTTTTTTTTACTAACTTCCTTAAATGCTTATGACATAACTTAACCTCATTATTTTATTAGTTTTTTTTTTCATTATTTACTTTTTATTATTATTTTATTTTTTTGTTTTCTTTGCTTTGCTTAGTTCTTAAGTGAAAAGGCACATTACTATTTATTTTTCACCTATTTACATAATGCTCAGAAATACATACACAACATTTATTAAAGCTCGAGGAACCAAATACACTGCACTAAAATGTTCTCAATCTATTTTTTTTTTTAATTTTAAGTAAATTTAATAGTAAAACTGTAGATAATTTTTCACTACCACCACATGTTGTAGTACTGTCCGCTTGTTTATTTATTTTGAGCTAATGTTTTGGCTAATATACGTATTCAGTTGTATATACTTGTATATAGTATGTATGTATAGTGCTATAAATTATAGTTATCCAATTCATATTATTGAGTTTTCCGTTACGACAGCACGTTCGTTTACCAACTTTTTTATTTTTTTATTTTTATTTTGCACGTTATGAGGAAAGAGGCCTCAATTTGCTTTCAAAAAAGTCTGCATTAATCTAATATTTTTTCCTCTCAATTCTCAAGTTATGAAGAACCGATTCCGTGTCAAATTTTAATTATAAGTTCCTATTTTTAAGAAGTTCAAGAAAATCTTTAATAAAACAAATCTAGCTTAATATTGAATATTATGGAAAATAAATTATCTGTTTGGCGGTATAAAATTTATTTACCCTTTAAATTGTGACAAAATTATACCGTTAAAAATGAAAAATAAAAATATAAATTTTTTAATTAAATAAAAATTACACTTTTCAGCAAGAAAATCCTACATCACTTTGTTTAAAAAAATTAAATGAAAATAAACTTTTTTTTAAATCGTATCAAAACCAGAGATAATAAAAATATATGCAAAATAAAAACACACAGAAAATTTATTTTAAAAAAATATTGCAATGACATCATTTATTACTTTTTTCTTTAAATATAATAAAATTTATAATAATAAATTTATAAAATATAAATTATTTCACTATTCAATGAATATTTTATATGTAATTATTTTAACAATGCGCAACATTGTATGTGTATGTCTCGTATGTATGTACTCGTACTATGTCTATGCATACATAACATTTTATAAATTTTATAGAAAAAATTTAAAACTAATTAAAATTAAAATTTGATTAAAATTAATATTTCATTAAAATTATATATATATTTAAAATATCTGTATACATATTGTTGTAAATAAATTTATGTAAACAGTAAAATAGAAAACCACATAAGTTTTTTTTTTAATATTTTCACTTCTAACACACTTAGTGTCTCTCATGCGCACGTTACACATTTTCTACGGTAAATAATACAAACTTAACATGCATGTTTTTTAAATATTAAATAGAAATATTTAAAATATTTTTTTTAAAACAATACTTCATTTAGCTGCATAAAGATAAAGTAAAAAATATTATTTTTTTCAATTAATTAAAAGTTCAATTGAAAATATATAAAATGTTTATATATGCATATAAAAATATCCCTAACGTAATATAAAACGCTTGCATATGAAAATTTACTAAATTAAACAATAAAAAAATTGTTTCTATAAAAAATGTATAGATATATTCAAAAAAAATTCTTTGTAGACCATTTTATTTCACTGTCTTATGCTACTTTTGATTTTAGTACATATTTTATATACTGCACAGAAATGTTCATTAAAACTAAGGAAAATACTCAATAAATGAAATGAAAATTGCAAGACTTTATGGTTTAAATGTTCGCTTAATGGCATTTAATAAAAATATTAATTTTTTTTATTTTATTATATTATTTATTTCAAAAAAATTTTAAACACAAAGCTTTTATGAAAGAAGTGGTATGTACATCGGATAAAAATTAATTTTTTTTTCGTTTTGATTTTAAGTATTTTTTCAATGATTGGGAACAAGTGGGATACTATTTATCTCGCATGTTTATTTGATATATACGTGTGTGTATATGTTTTTGATACTTATACTGTGACATATATAAATATTATTTTATTCATAGGCAAATAAAAACGTGTAAACTATATATTTTTTAATCCTGTGACAGGATTTTTTTACTACATAAATTCTAGGAAATTCTTACACTTTTTTGACAAATGTTTTAAAAATAACTTAACAAAAATTATTTTATTATTTTCAATACAAAGGGTAGTTAAAGGTTTTTCATTCATTACTTTTATTGCAACACATTTCTATAAGGCAATACAAAAACTTAAAGCAATTAGAAAAAAGAAATCACTGGTGCTGTTGTGCTGCTGCTAGTTAAATGCTAGATGTTAGAGTTTTTGCACACAGAAAACATTTGAGATTTATAAAAAAATATTTTTTGCAGTTTTTCTAATTTTTTTTTTTTATTTTTTATTTTTATTCCATATTATTACTTTTTTACATTTATTTTATTTCTTATTTAATTGAATTGTTTTAATTTTTTTTATATATTTTATTTTTTTGTTATTTTTTATTTTTTCATTTAATTTTTTATTTTCTTATTATTTTCTTATGTTATTTAATTCTTTTTTTAAATTATATTATTTAATTCTATTTTTAAATTATATTACTTAATTTCGTTATTCTATTATTTTAAGTTATTTTTTTATTTTATTATTTTGAATTTGTTTTATTATGTTGTTTCTTATTTTATTATTTTTTTTATTTTTTTATTTTTTTTTTTTAATTTTTTTTATTTTATTATTTTTTTTTTTTTATTATTTTTTTATTTTATTATTATTTTTATTTATTAATTTTTTATTTTATTATATTTTTTTATTTTCCTATTTTTTATTTTTTTTTTTTTATTTTATTATTTTTTTTTATTATTTTTTTTTATTTTATTATTTTTTTATTTTATTATTTTTTATTTTGTAATTTTTTTAAAGTATTTTATTTTTTTTCTATTTTATTATTATTTTTATTTTATTCAATTTTTATTTCATTATTTTATTTAATTTCTATTTTATTATTTTATTTTTTAATTATTTAAATTTTTTATTATTTTATTACTTTTTTTTTAATTTATTCTTTTTTTTAATTTATTACACCTTTTTATTTTTATATTTTTTTAATTTATTATTCTTTTTTATTATAATTTTTTTATTTTATTATTATTTTCTTTATTTTATTATTTTAACGTTTTATATAAATAGTTTTCATTATTAACATTTTTATTTTTTTTTAGGAAACCAGCTCCTATTTAAAAGAATTTAGCATGGAGAAAGTTTTTAATACATGTTTTTTCTTATTATGTCTCATTGACACGAAATGAGAAATAAAGAATATTGTGGAAAGCTTTTGAAAAGTTCAAAGCTCAACTAAAAGCTATGGGAATTTTTTTAGTATCAAACTTATTGAATAGGTGTACAGCTGCCATTAAGCAAGTCGAAAAAGTATAAACCTTGCTAGAGCACTGCAACAGAAAAGAAAAAAAAAATCAAATTAAAATAGAAAAGCAAAAAATCAAATAAAAATAGAAAAGAACAACTAAAAATTAAATAAAAACATATGTTTGTCCCACATAAAATTTAATTTAACTAAATTATTTACATGCAATAAGTATATTCATTTGTGTTTTTTTTTTTTCATTTTGCTTGTGCGATTATTTTGCAAAATATTTAAGTCTTTTGAATATCATTACAATATCTCTAGGAAAGTAAAAACTTGTGCATCATTTATCATTTTATACTTGAAGAAAACAGATTTAAAAAAAACTTGATAAATTTCTAAAACTTAATCAATGTATAAAATTTGATATCGCGCTCTATCCTCTAAAGAAAAAAGATGCTATAATATGAAATAATAATTTTAATTTTTTTAAACTTCAAATTTTGAGCTATTTAGATACTTTTACTTCGCCAGTTAACTTTCACTACAGCCGGAGTTGATCTAAATTTTATGCGCCCAAGGGCGGTCACCCTTTGCCGAGACCCCCTCGAAAATCGTTTCAGCGGCTATAAGCGCCAATTATATATTAAAAAAAAAAGGAAATCAAATTTGAATGAGAAATTATTTTTAAAATAACAAACTTAATACAAGACAAGTTTATTTTTAAAAACGTAGAATGAAAATTGAATTATCAAACCTTAGTATTTAGTTCGAGCTATGCTTTTAATGATTCAAAATAAAATATTTCAAACAAATTTTCTTCAAGCAATACTTTTTCTTACGGGAAATTAATTCAAAATGCTATATTTTTTTAATTAAATAAAATACCACATTTTCAAAATTGAAATGTTCTTTACCGTAGAGGCAGTTTCGATTTTTTCTCAAACAAACAAATAAATAAGACATTTGGAAGAGACAAATAAAGAATTTTTACTTCCCTAAAAATATTTTAATACACTCTTTTTGCTTTTTGTGCATATACATACTATTTTATATGGAAATATGTACCACATACGCATAATTTACAATACTTTGAGCAATATGTTGCTATTTTTTTGAATAATTTAATTTTTATATAAATTTGGCCACTCTTTTACTATAGAATTGTTAAATCTACATTCCCATAATTTTATCATAAAAAAAATACATTTTCCTTCATCAAATTTCACACTTTTGTGGGCTATAGACCTGATAACCCATTAAAAAAAAAACAAGCGAATCCTTTTAAATATGTTGCATTTTACTATCAGTTTCTTATCGTTTACTCATTTAGGCACATGTTTGTCAAATTCAAGTATAACTTTTTTCTGTCTCTACTTGCTACATACATACTAAGCTATGTAATTAATTAAATTATGTCTAATTATTTTATTCAGTTTACTTAAAATACAAATGTATATGGGCATAGTGAAAAAATACTAAAAAGTAACGATATTCATTTGCATTTTAATTTGCACAATCATTTACTACTATTTTGTTTCTTATAATGGTCTGCATAATGCGAATGCAATTTTTTTACATGCTTAGATAATAAACACTCATTAATATAATGCTTTATTTTTAATATTGAAGCTGTCTTCAGTTCTACAAGCCAAGCATCTTTTATCGATTTATTTACTTTCTAAACAAATCTTTTTTTATTCTCCTTCTTTTTTTTTTTTTGGAAGCATTGCGGTGGCACATTTTTACCACTGATCCTTTGCACACCACCGCGCCACCAACAGACGCTTAAGTACAACGAATAACCTAATTAACGGTTACCTTCATTGCACTTTGCCATTTCTGCAGCTGGCATTTGTGCTCGTCATCATCCAGCGATGATGTTGATAGTTTTGCACTTGTCACTGCTTCAACCAGCTGTTGCACTCTACTGCGGACAATTTGCAACAATATTTGTCAATGTTCTCCGCGTAGCAGTTCCATAAGTAAATTGAAATCACCGCCATCACGTGATTTTATGGTGAGCATCTCCTTGCCAAGCTGTAAAATGGTGGAAAAGGAAGAAATTTAGTTGATAAACTTGCATAAAATTATATTTTACAAACCTGGCATGTCTTTTGCAGATCTGGTATGCGCAGCAACAGTTCACCGAATTTAGATGGCGTGTCAGGGTAGTGCGCCAGAGTGTAAGCCTGTAAGGCTTGCAACGCTTTCTCTTGACATTCGCGTACTTTAACTGGTTCATGCAATTCGGTGGTGTCTGGGTACAAAGCGAAAATATATTATATTGTAATTAAACTTAAAAATTTTTATTATTATTAACTATACATAAAATTAAATTAGCTAAGAAATAAACAATAAAAAACAAAACTTAAATACAGTAGTATAATTTGAAAATTATACAAAATATGTAATAAAATAAAGTATAAATACAAAAAGATTTAAACTTAAACATAATAAAAAGGAATAAAATAAAATTACATCAAAATAAAATAAAATATAAAATCAAAAATTAAAAAAATTATAAAATGAAAAGAAATAAAATAAAACAAAATAAAATAAAAAATTAGAGAAGTAATATAAAATAAAATGAAACCAAATAAAAAAAAATATTAAAATAAAGAAAACAAAATAAAATAAAAAATGAACTAAATAATAAAATAAAAAATTAAATAAAATTGAATTAAAATAAAATCAAATTGAAAAAAATACAATGAAAAGAAATAGACCAAAATAAAAAGAAATGAAATAAATATATAAAATAAATTAATATAATGAAAATATAGCTTGCAAAAATAAATTAAAAATGAAATAAATTAACTCATAAAAAAATTCAATTAAAATAAATTAATAATTACAATATAACAGCATTTTAAAATGAAAAATAAATTTAAAAAAAATGAATGAATGAAAAAGTACGATAAAATTTTCTTTAAATATATTATAATATCAAAACAAATAAAATATAAATAAATTAATTGATATATTAAATTAAATAATTTATGTAAATAAATTCTATTAAATTGAGGAAAGTCCTTTCCAAAGCTCCGCTATCACGAACTATATCTAGAAGTCAAATGATGAATGGACAACTTCTTGCAGAGAAATGCTAGATAATCTAAGTACCACCCACTTGCAATAGCATAAGCCCTGTTCCCATTATTGACTACTAGGTGATTTCCTCGATATCGAGGGAGCTTTAAATAAATTATCACCAGAGTTAGTCATGAATGCACTCCGAGAAATGGGAATTGGAGCGCACTTAGTGAAAGTGGTGAAATTTATCTTAGGAAACAGGATAATCTTATACAATAATAAGATAAACGAGGAGGCTCATAAAGAGACACCCCTTTGATGTCTCGCAAGCTAAAAAGCACGGGTTGCGAGGTGATAGTCTACATTGACGACATCACCCCCATAGCGACTGAACAGCACACCAAAGTTATAAATGATCTTCACTCAAATGCCTTTTATGCAGTAAAGAATTGGTACTGGTTGTAAGTCCGTCAGGGACTGAAATGTTAATCTTCAACGGAAGGTATAAGCCGAAATCAAATATCTAGGTATAATCATATACAGGAAGCACACCTGGAAACGGAACGCGGTCGGACTCATTACAGGAGCGCTGCCCTCAACCCCTACAAAATCACATAAGATTCTCCTTAATTTTCCTCCGGCAGACCTGTATGGGAAATTATGGCCCTAGTATTTTCTGTTTTGACCAGATTTTTGCAGCAAAAATCACAGAGTATCTTCACTAACAATGCAAAGCTCGATGGCAGGATGATTTGCGGAGTTTACTCTCAACCACTTTCATTGGATATGAGCAAGAGCCTCCCCGACCACTGCAGCGTCTTTCAAGCTGAACTAACTACAATAATGTGGCTTTCATGGATACTCAATTCGAGTATAGTTTCTTAGCATTTCACAATTTATACAGACAGCTAAGCTGCCATTAAATCACTTCATTGTATTCACACAAACTCAAAGGCGGAAATAAAATGTAGAAAAATCTTAAACAAACATTCGACCGTATGCGAAACGACCTCTTTCGTACATAGTGACATCTTAACTACGGAAAGCTCTGTACACGACTAAGGTAATACTTTCATCACCAAGGCCAATAGCATATGGCAGGATGAAACCATGTGCAATGTGTTCAGGCAGATCTGGCTCCGCGAGCATAACAACCGTCATAACTACTGAACACTCACAAACCCCCCGGTTTCAGCATCTAGAAAGGACCCCTGTGTGGTAGAGGTTCAAACATTTTCCAAGAGTAAGGCATGGCTGTCGTAAGAGTCTTTATACCGGAACGACCCAGATTTTTATTTGGCCAAAGGTTGTCACTCCCGCAACATTTTTACGACTATAACAACAACAACGTCTAGAAAGGTGAGATGAATCTCTTCATTAAACCCCAACATAGATACCACAACTGGCCAACAGGCCTAAGTGCGCTCGATCGATCAAGTAAACAATAATAAAAATTAAATAACAAAACAAAATTAAATTAAATAAGGCACAGAATATAAACTGAATGGGAATAAAATAAAAAATAATAAAAATATATTTTAATAATTAAAAATTATAAAAAAGATGGTTTCACTTACCCGACTGCAACAGCACAATCACTTTCATGGCAACATATTCATAGCGATCGACACGTAAGCGTCTCAAGTTCTCCGTCAGGTTCAACATTCGTTCAATGCAGGCCTATATAAATGATAACGAAAATCGAGCATCAGTATCATGGAAATCCTTTCAAACCTCAAAACAATATTATTCTGACATTTTTTTGCTTGCTGCTCACCTGTAAGCCACTTGATTTTGCCTGGGCTAAACTAATCTTTTTGCCTTGTGACATCTTTATTTCGCCCGGCGTATCGATCGATCGATAGCAGCACGAAAATAGCAACAATTCACACCACGAATTGATTAGTAGGCAAATTTGATCGTCGATCTGCAAAACCAAATGAATAAATGTAAAGATTTCTCATATCGAGTGCCATGTATAGTGACTCACCGAAATATGTTTGAAGAGCGGCAAACTCTTGCACCATTTCACAATCTTATACAATCGATGATCGGCCACATTACATAAATGTGCAATCAGATCGGGATTGGTATTCTCACCATTGCCAAAACCAGCACTGGCTAGGAGAGGATTTGTCATTTGCGGATTGGCTGTGCCAGCGCCATTTGCGGCGGTCGACGATGACGTTGAGGAGGCGTTGGAAGAGGAAGAAGACGATGTGGAAATGGGTTGATTCAGACGTGCCAATTCAGCTTCATTGTATTGCCATAGATGCTCAACATCCATGATTTCCTGCGATTAGAAAAGAGAAATCAATATTTTATGTATTTTACATATATATATTTATGTAGCGGAACATACCTGTAATAATAATGGAATGTTTGTGGCCCGCCTTGAGGTTCCACTCTCCTCACACTGCTCCGACTTAATTGTGGTTTGCGCTGCCCCACCACCTCCGACACCTCCTGTCAGGCCATTCATTATATGTTGTTGTTGTTGCGCAGACATGCCATGCGACATTTGTGCACCTAGACGCCCATGCTGCTGCTGTTGACTGGCCGCTGCCACAGCAGCTGCCGCCACTGCCGCAGCTACTCCTTGCTGTTCCGGACTCAGTAGTGGACTCAGCATCGAATTGGGCAACGTATATGAGCACTGGTAAGTGGAACGCCCACCACGTGTACGATCTTCACGTATCGCTTCGAGTTTCATGCCCTTCTGTAGACACTTCTCAAAACGACATGCAGGACATTTCTTACGCGTCGAAATACTAACCGGACAAGGACCGCCACGTACGCACACGTAGTTTTTACGATTCTGTACAGTGCGTTTGAAGAAGCCCTTACAAGATTCACATGAGAAAATACCATAATGGAAGCCTGAAATTTTATCACCGCAAATGGGACAGGGCGAATTGATGAGCTGTTGTCGTGAAATGCCAGCTGGTGACGCTGGCAAGCCTTCGAGTCCAATATTGAGTGGCGAGACTTTTGTATCCATGCTAAGATTTTGCGCTTCCGCACTGCAGTTAACGCCGGCACTGCCATTAGCAGCCGTTCCGGCAGCTGCATTATCGGCCACGGTGATGGGACGATAGATGACCGAGTGATGCAACGATGTACCATTGAAGTTGCCATAGAGTGCAGGTGCGGGTGGTGCATGTCGACCCTGGATGGGTGAATGTGTTGGGCTAAACTCGGAACTGTACGAGTAGCAAGAGCTGTGCGATGCATCGCTGTTATTGCGACTAAGCGACGGTGTGTAGGGCGCATGCCGCGACGTCAGTGGTGACTGCGACGGTGAGCTGTGCGTGTAGACGGAATGTATGGCAGAATCTGGGCTGGGATTGGCAGGCAGTGGCAATGTAGCTGATTTGTTGCGCGTCAAAAGTGGTGAATTAACATTGGCGCCAGCTGAAAATGAACCAGTGACGGAAGTATCTGGTTCATACTTCAGATTTATCGGATCACTTTGAGTCGGTGCGAGTTTTGTGTGTGTGGCAGAGTATAGGCTACCTGCACTGCTGCTGCTGCCTAAACCACTGCGCACAGGTGTGGGGCCCATAGCCGCAACGGAGCCACCACCGTGAACTTCAACAGATAACTGTTCCATCTGTTCGGGTTTTATGGGATGTGTAGGCGTTGGCGCCAACGGATGTCCAGGCGTTGTTGTGGTCGCCTCACTCTTGATTACCGTCATACCCATGCTACCATCAACAATACCAGACGCGCTCATATTACACATGTTCGTCATGCCGCTGTTGCTTAACGAATTCTCCGTCTCCATGAGCTCGGTCTCAGTCGTCTCCGTTTCGGAGAGTTCTCCCTCCCAGGACATGGGACGTGGTCCGTTTTTATTGTGACTTCCATTATAACAGCTGCCACCAACAACAGTATTATTGCCATTATCTGCCGTGCTGTTGCTTTCCGCGCTGTTGTGTACACGACGCGTTACCTTCAAATTCTCAATATTCGTCAGCTCAGTCTCTGAATCGGAATCTTCCGCTTTCGTCACTGGTATACGTATACCCACTCCGAGACCGCCGGCACCGGCACCGGCACCCCCACCACTTCCACTCCCACTACCACTACTGGCTCCATTATAATAACTGGCTGCTGATCCCGTCGCTGCTATGACGGGCACTATATTGCCATTGGGCATCAGCGATGCCGCTATACTCTCGTCCATTTCACATTTGATATTCGTGACGGAAATATTGTTGCGTGTTGTTGTGGTGGTGGTTGTTGTTGTTGTAGCGCCATTAGTACTGTGACTATTATTGCCGCCGTTCGTGATTACTTGTGGATGGCTGTGCATATTCACGGGCACTTGGAATGCACTGCTAGCCAATGTTGTGCCAAAGGCGGTCACTGTGGAATTGGCGCCAGCAGCAGTAGCGTTTTCTGTCTTTGTGGTGGACATTTTGTATGTTTTTCTAACGGGTTTACTTTCTTCTTTGTTATTATTTAACTCTAATTTATGCGATTTTTTTCTGTCGAACAATATTGTGCGAGTGCGTGTGTTTATGAAGTTCTGGTTCACTTCAAGGTGCGCTGCTGCAGTTGGTGAAGAGGCGATACGTGGCGTTGCTGCAGTCCCATTTTGAGAGAATCTTCATCTGAAAAAGACATTTTCCAATTAGTATTTATTACAAATAGCGAACTTATGTAATTAATCGGAATAAGAAAACAATAATGAAGACCGAAAATCCCCACAGATGGTCAAAAATTTTCGAACCCGTCGTTATGTGGATTCCTATAGTAGATTGAGTTTGAAACTGCTTTAAATTGGATTTCTTTTTCCAAAAGCCGCCAGCACTAAATTGCCGCCAATATTTTCCTGGTATATCAACGGGCTCAAATCCTGGTACGACCAACATCCAAAGATTATGGAAAATTAAGTTAAATTTTTTAATCGCGGTCCCCGCTCGGCGGGGGATGTCAACCCCTCCGAGTGTATTCGTATTTCTGACATGAAATAAAAGCTCCTCAGAAAAATCATCAGCCATTCGCAGACGGCTTTGTATAAACTGTCTCTATTTGTTGGATAAACATCAAGACGCAAGAATCACAAATTGAAGGAGGAGTTCGGCCGAAAATCGCTTCAGCGGTTTCAAGATGGATAAACTCAGTGGTTCTTCCTATTCTTAATTTACTTGACTAGCGTAGACACCTTTAACGTGATCCATCCAGACCACATGACCTAGCCAGCGTAGCCGTGGTCTGTTTATTCTTTGAACTATGTCAATGTCGCTCATCGCTTCATCGTTTGCGATATTCGCCAATTCTAACGCGTAAAACCCTTACGTAAAGCCCTTCTCTCGAAAACTCCTAACGCCGACTCATTAGACGTTGTCATCGTTCATGCCACCTCACCATATAGTAGGACGAATATGTTGAGCGACTTTTAGAGTTTGGTCTTTGTTCGTTGAGAGCGAACTTTACTTTTCAATTGCCTGCTTTGGATTTCAATGTTGACCTCGCTTGATACCAAACGATTCGGAGAGGTCTTTCCCGATTTCTGACGGAGTTTTAGTTTAACTTAACGTCAGTTTACAATAGCGGTATAAGTTTTACGACGTTACCAAAGTCGACCACATGATGATATGTAGCAACTGTTTTCATATGGGATTTTTACAAGATTTAACGCACGGTGATTATCTGGTCATTGCTGGACAGATCTAAAGCCCTAATGATAAGATCTTGTCACGGTCACGTTGTCGTGCTTCAGTCTTGCATACAATACTCCCGATAGGACCTTATAAACGTCATCGAGGAGGCTTAGTAATTAGTATAGGTTGTGCGATCCCCCTTTCATCCCTTCGGAAATTAGAAGAGCTCGCTCTCTTCTTGAAACCAGTGAAGTGAGTGAGTTTCTATAACATCAGCTCGGTGTCTGTCTGGCCTTATCGAGAACACGATTCAGACATCACGGAGTTTTACCGTTCAGAGAATGGAGATTAAAGTATTTTTGCTGTGTTGAAAACTTAAATGGGGCCTGAGACTGTACGTCTCATTATTGTCATTTAGAAATGTATATACTCGTACGCTCGTAGTCAGATGCATAATCTTCTAAGATCTAGCCGTTTGGTAGCCGGCAGAAGATAAAATCGCTTTTAGTAGCTATTCCATAAACTCCTAACAAAGGTAATAGGCACTCTTACAAGCTTAAGGGAGAACTCATAAAACCTCTAGTGCAAACTTCAAGCGACTTGCAATACAGTGAAGACTGAATGCAGCTCAGTTTTAGAAACATTGATATAAGGAAAACTATTTCTACGTGGATGGACCGAAACTCAATGAAAACTTAACTTGTCCATGAGATTACCTCACCATTGCTGCTTCCTGCAGTGGCAGGAGCCACAGAATGACTACTTAAATGTACAGTAGGTAACTAATACACAGGTTATGTATAATATATACCCTGACTACCAAGCTGACATCAGATCTATACCACAGCGGTATTAAAATACTAAAGCATTCTGAGCAGATTACCGATAAAATACAATACAACCGTGATCTTGGTACCCGGACATAGAGTATACCAAGAAACTGCGCGGTAAAATGAGCTGGTGAGAAAAGAAATTTCTTAAAAAAATGCGTATCATGAAAAAGATGTGGGAATATTAAACAAAAATACATGAATTTTCAGTTTCGAACTCTCAAATACTGCACAATTCAGAAGAGAGTACATAAATGATGCCAACAACTTCAACTTCGTTAAGGGGCACACCTAGTGTAATGGCCTAAAACAAAGGTGATTTTTTGGAATTTATATTAAAAAAAAATACTTTATCAATTATTTCAAAATTTCAAGAATATACAGTGAAATTTTTGAAGAAAACAATTTAATATTTCTTAGGTTATAGTCGATCTCCAACGACACGAAAAAAGGTCCTTCACAGCTGCAGTGATTCCGGCCTTCTCCGTGGATGAAATCTAAAAAAAAAAATTCTCTACTAGATAATTTTGTCTGTACAATGACCAACGATAAAGAAAAAATCAAAAATTGACAATATGGCGGCTTTTTAAAAAACATAGTCGAATTTTACCCAAAATTTTGGTCGTTTTTGGCCTGCCGAAATTCGATTTTTTGATGAGATCAAAAATCGATAGGTCATTGTACGGAGAACTATATATAGAACATGTAAAAAATTCGATATTGATCGGATCATTTGTTTTTGAGTAATCACTGCCGCAAATTCGGAAAATGCTGTTTCGAGAAAAACGCGTTTAAAGATAAAATGATCGTTTTCACTCGTAGCTAATGAGACTCTCTAATCGCCGAGCGGCTGCTCATTAAATTGCTATAACTCAAAAACTGTTTGAGATATCGATTTGAAATTTTAATATGTTATTTTAAAAGGTGTAATCTACCGAAATATGAAATAGAAATTTCACACTAGGTGTGCCCCGCATCTGAAAGACGAAAATTTGGTGTTTACGCTTGCAACCCTGAGCAACAGTCATAACATCTACCTAGAGAGGTCGCTGCCTTCCTGTATTCTAACATTTTCTAAAATGAACCCTAAATTTATGGAAAGAGTCCAGTTAGCACCGTTTAGCATTTTTCTTTTGATCCAGCAGCCACAGCAGCAACATCTACGGCGAGTGTATTTTTTATTCGTTCATGTCGATTTTGTAAATGTACTTACCTTCAATAAATATCTTCATAATTAATTTAATTCCTGAACTTTTTTATTGAGCCCTTGGCGGCAGGAAAGTAGGTGGTGTTTTTTCAGCTCTTTGAGGGAGCCACACCTGCCCCGACCCCCGTTGCAGGAATTCAAGAGGGATTCAGGCACCTAATTAACCCCGACACGAAACATTTGGTATTCTACATACAAACGTATATATGAATAAATATTATCACCGAAAATCAGAGGACTATATCACCTAGATATGAAGAATACCATAAATTGTATATGGTCATGAAGCGTTAAAGATTTTGGTATGACCGAAAACATCTATTCTTTCTTTCTTTCCGATATAGATATTTTTATATTTTTCCCCTGGAAGCTACTAATATAATTATAATTAATTAACATAAGCGACATTTATGTAAAATCGATTTGTTTTTAGTTTTTAAGTAAGATCAGAAAATTACTGCATTAAAGGTGTTTTTTTGGCACCAAGATTTTCCAAAACGAACCCTAAATCTATTTTCAAAAATAGCCGCAACAACAGCAAAGTAAAGCCAAAAATTACTAAAATCCATATGTATGTATGTGTATGTAAATTTAAAAAAATACTAGGAACTCCAATCAACACTTCTGCGCCGCTTTCACCACTTCAACGGAGTTTTGACAAAAATTTCTCCAAACATAACGATAAGAAAATGACAAACAACCATAAATTTCGGGTTATGAATATTAGATTTGCTGAATACAGATTTGACGGAATTTTCTCCGTAATTTTTATCTTAAGTTTGACAAAAGAAAGGTGGCTGGCTGGTTGGCTGGTGGATACGTCTCATCTGTACTATTCGTATGAATATTTAAATACATGAGCATACCTACATAAATGCATTCGAGTATGTATGTGCGATTACAAAGGAAGATGGAACAATTGTTGTTGACTGCTCTGAACGACCTTTTGTTAACTACAATCAGAGCAAATATGTTTTGAAAGCCACAGAAGCAGAAGAAAAAAACAAAACCAGAGTGTTAATATACTAAAATAAACAAAAAAATATGCATTGCATTAACCACTTTGACAACAAAGCAGCAGCAGCAGCAGCAGCAGAAAAAAGTGTCAACGACCTAAACGCAATATTCATAGTAGAACAACAGAACTACTCGTACAACAAAAACACCAAACACCGACTAGGTGCCAAGCACAGAAATTTGTTTGTTAAGCCCCCCGCAAATAAGCCGGTGATGGAGAAATGTAAAAAGTGGCCAAAAAATTAACAAAAAAGCAGCAAAAAAGATGGCACAACCAGACAACAAATAAGCAGACCAATAAATTTTTTAAATAAAATAAATTTAAAGTACATTAACCTTCACCAACCAAAAAAGAGGGCCAGGCCAGCAACGCTTAAATGAGCATGAAAAAACGTACAAAGAGTTTGACGAACAGAGTGGGCAAAGTGACATGTGGACACCAAGCAACAGTTGGTAGATGAATGAGAAGCAAAGTATTGAAAGAAAGAAAGAAATGGGAAAGGCTGAAGAAAGTAAATATGCTAAAAGATAAAAAAAGGTTGAATCAGACGAAAACTAAAGTAAACTAATAAAAAAATGAAAGAAAATAATTTTAATAAATAAAAGTAAATTACTAATATGAAATAAGAAAATAAAATAAAATAAAATAAAACCATTTAAATAAAATAAATTTCGTATATCCCTCAGACGGTTGGGTGGGTAAATAAATAACGTAAATGAATCTAAAATAAAATAAATGAATGAATTATGAATTAACTAAATTAAAAATATGAAAAAGGTATTAATAAAAAAATTAAATAAAAAATTTTATCACAAATAAATTGAAATAAATACTAAAGTAAAATTACATAAATGGGTAAAATAAAATAAGATGAATTAAAAAATAATGGGATAAAAAAAATATAAACAAAATTAAATTCATAACATCAAATAATATTGGAATTGATAAAAAT